GGGTGGGGGAGAGAATTCGCCGATTAATCTATCTTAAACTTTTTGGAATATTTCAAATGAATATTGACCGAAAGCGGCGAACTTACATTTGGAAGAGTGACCGTCCGACAGCTAGTCCCAGTCCACCAGCTAGAGAACTTTTCTTCTCCTGCTACTCCCCCAGACGGCGCACCCTGATAGGCTATCCAATCAACTGTGGCGAAGCTATTTGAAGGATAGTCATTCCTGCCAGCTCGAGTAACACAGGCGGTGAATTGACTGATGTTAACGCTTTCAACCCAAGGTATAGTGGCCTCGTGTACGAATGTGGAATCAGAGTAATTAAAGTGGTTAACAGTAAGTTGTATGTATATTTTCTGGTGCGGGTAAAATATGTACGGTTCAAACTTGATGACGTCACATTGATCTTCCTCCCAGGAAGGTATGTTCTTAAACGTGTTTCTACCTCTCTGAAGTGGAAAACCTGCCAGAGAACAAAAGCAATTCGTCGTAGACCAAGTTTGGTATTCACTAACCCAAGTGTTTTATAATCTCTTTGTCATTCTAAGGCGCTTTTCTACAGGCTGAATCACGCCAGTGTACCGCTGAAGCAGTTCAGTGAACCACGTAGGGTTTTGACTGGAAAAGCATTAGGAAATTGAGAAAAATGGAGATGTAACACACAAATGAAAGAAAGACAGTACTCCTACATGCACATTAAAAAATATACCTGTGCAACTTCCAGGATGATAGTGCGTAAAATTTCCACGTGTCTGACAGATTTCGCGTTTTAGCAAGCATAAATTGGTGTATGTGCGACCGTTAGAAGCGCAGACCTGTTCTTCATATGACGGGCAGTTGTCCTTACAACGACAAGCAAACTGGTGTGGAGCTATGGACACACAGTGACTGTGGTATTTGCAGGTCGCATTTCCGCAGGGATCAAGATCTAAGATGGAAACGAAATGACACTTATCATAATTTCAGTTTCATAACAGACTCAAGACTGAGGCGTGTACTGTACAAAGACAGATGTATGAATCATTTTGAATTCTACGCGACATTCGAAATCAAAACGCTTTTTGCGATAGCCCTCGGTTGATCATACAGGGGTAATTGTATGAATCACTTGTCTGTGGAAACGGCTTCACACTCACGGCGAAAATGTTGCGAGCAGCTACGATAACTTTGAAAAAAGCGGATATCAAATTAAACTATCACCACTGCGATTTATTGTTGCTTCATTAAATAAATTTGTAGTTGTAGTCGGCCGGCAGAAGGCCGGATGCTCATGTCCTTTGCCGCGATACTAATATCATTTTCCAATATTTGTAGAGAGAGGTCGTGTTGTACACAAAACCGTAAGTGAAGATGTGGAAGGCTGTGAACACGTCCCATTTCGTCTGCCGCATCACTGGGCTTAATTGTAGCATGTTATAAGCTAATGTGTGAGCACGATTGTGCTTGGGTACCTTGTGAGTAGAGTCTCCTTCCTCTTCTCGATTTTTCTGTGAAGATCGAAGGAGGCTTGCTCGCAAGGTATTACTCCGAAACAGGTGTACGCAAAGGGGAGATAAGCATCGGGGAGACGCCGACAGACTTCCCACTGAGGTCTTCCTCCGACAAAACGCCAGATTGGGCTCAAGCGACAGTAAACCACAACTGTCCTCGCTGTTTGCATTCAACCTTACTGAAGAGTTAGCCAACATTTTCGCCATGAAAATGAAGCCACTTTGCTTCGACAGACCATGAAAGCTACCGCTGTTTGTTTGACGTAAATCTATTGCAAAGAGCGTTTTGATTTCGAAAGTCGCGTAGCAGTAAAAACAGTGGTAACTAAACAAATATTTTCCTCATAACTACCTCCTATAGCCAAATAGTCTACATGTACAATATCCCTCTGGCCATCGTAGCCCGCGTCATCTTTGATGCACACTCGAAAGTGGTAATTCGTCACTTCCTACAACAAAGTCAAAAATGTTAACAACTTGGTTAAAATATTTCTCTGGAATAAATAATTATACAATTAATATCTTTGGGAAACAAATAAACTCAACTCGAAGAAGCTGGATGAACAAAATAAATGAAACACCAGAACTGGGGTCCTTATAGAAAACGAAGTTCCCATACACCTGTTCCTGTCTCATTAGAAAACACAGTTAAGAACAAGCGCACGCTAAAACTCAAAGGAAACACAGAACTAACCCAAGCTGATGACTTGGCAAGAGTTCAAGAGATCATTCAGCCTTTAATTACTAAAGGTGAACTGAGATTACGCTCGAGACAGCTCGTACTCTTTGAGTTTAATTACCATTTACCATTGCCATTGTAGCCATTTCTGTGGTCAACCAAATTACGATATATTTCTCCCTTCTTTTTCCATGTAATTATCATCAAGAATAGTCTGATTATCAAAACGATCATTATCATTGTTAACTGGAACCCTTGACTCCCTAATGCCCAAAAGGACGCTCTGGATGGCCATGGTTCGTGTACAGCTTCGGTCGTCACCATTTTCAACTTTTGAAGTGGAATGAGGTCCTGCAAAGCTTACTTAAACAAGCACGACGGCATTCATTTGGCCAAGGATTCAGACAATAAACCTTGAAATTTTGTTCTCTTTTAATCTTAACCCTCCAGCACGCCTAGGTAGGACACCTTTTTACACAGAAAAAAGGCAACTGAAAGGCCAAAAAAAAAAAAAAAAAAAAACAGTGACAAATGAATTCAAGAAAAGGAGTGGGCGCCATGTTATTCCAAATGAGGTTTACAAGAAATTGTAATCTATCCTTTGAGATGAAATGAAAAGACGTCTACAACGTTTAATCGCCTTTTTATGCAGGGGGAGCTGGGACTGGTATTCAAAGAGTCTCTGAAGAGATTGTACCTCCAGCCAGCTGCTTAAAGGATCTTTCAGTGGACAAGCGAGGCTGGCACTGTTACTGCCGCCATTAACAACTGTTGTGAGTACAACAGGTGGTGCGTAAAATGGACTGGTAAAGTTCACACTCTGCAAAAACAAAGAGCAGAAATATAAGGAATGTAAAATGTGTAGTTGACAGAAAGTGACATACAGAGGACCGATTACCACCGAATCATTCTAGATGCTTAGAATTCAGTAAGCTCTCATCCACTTGTTGTTATGGTCGACTTGACGGACAAATTAAAGAAGAAAGGTATACACACAAACCTTGCATAACGCATAATTGTTCCCTGCAGTTGGTACCTCGTTTTCAGAAAATACGATCTCCGAGGACTCTTTAACGGCCCACGACGACGGGTAATTCTCGTATGCCATCCAGTTCTAAATTTAGGAGGAAAAAAATGAAATGAAAAAAAAAAAAAAAACAGCTGAAAAAACTCATCAAGCAATTACACTCGCTAGTTCTTATAAAAGGTGTTAATGTCTTGGAACAGCTGAAACTTTGTTAGTTTCGACTAGGAAATAAATAATTCTGGATAAAATTACCACCGCGAGATTACTGTGGGGTCCATCAAATGTCCTTGACTCTCTTAAACAAACTTCAAACTGACTTGTGGTGACATTTTCAATCCAAACACTCATGGCGTCCTGCTTTTGGTTTGGAGTTTTATGCTTCACAGTAACTTGAACTTTAGGCACTGCAGAAAAGGCCTAAGTAAGAAGAATAAAATCTGTTGCAGTGTATTTAAATGACCATACATGTGTTCTCTTAACTCCCATTATAAATATGACAGGACAATTTGAAGTTATTGTCCAAATTGGGCAACAATCCCATTACAAAAGAGTATTCACTTCCATCCAAAGAGTGAATTAAAAGACTTTTACAGCAATAGTTACCCTTTTGCTTATTCTTTGTCTATATATTTATCACATATTTTAGCAGCCATTAACACTCCTTTTTTAATCGTACCTGGGAAAAGGCCAGTTGATTGCATTTTGTTCCAGTAGTAAACAGGCTAAAAGTGGTCTCTCCGTGATAAACTCCTGATTGGGAACCTTGGAATGCAAACCAATCGATGGTTGTGTTCACCCCAGTTCCTCGACCAGCTTGCACTAGACAGGTCTTAAAACCACTTGTTGTCACATCTTCTACCCAAATAAAGGCGGGATCATGAACTCCTGTTGTCTTGTTACCATGATTAACTGAAGTAAATACTCGCACAGATGCTTCACTGGAAAAAGTGTTATTAAACGACACAGGTTCGCAGTGGAAATTATCAATTCCCATTTGTTGAAAGTCGACTTTGCCCCTCTCAACACCTATTAAGGAAACAGCAGACGTTGTTGGCATAAGTAAAGGAGCCATTATTCTTTTTTCCAAAATAGATAGTACATGTATATAAATCATTCGTGGTTGCAAGGTTAAAAAACTGACACTTGCACAATAAACGTGGTGACTTCTGTTCCCCTGTATTTGGCAAAGTTGTGATCATTGCAGAATCAAGCATAGCTTCTATTTGTGTGAACATTTAAGAAGCGATTCACATTTTGTTTTTATTTCTTTGTTTTCTAAAATCATTGAGACTTAGGAATCTCCCACATTATTAAGGCTCACCAAATTTGAACAGTATTAAGATTCTTGCCATTTTCACAGAATTTAGGCTCCTACCATTCCCTTCTTGTCAAGACTCGCGCCAACTTGACGATATTTAGACACTGTCAATTGCCACAATATTTAGACTCGTGTAGTCTTCACTGTGATCAACCTCCACATTGTTTATAGATTAGACTAGAGCAATGTTTGGGCAATGTTTCCCGCTTTTTATTTCGTACCTGCTGCCAACTTC